GGTTTTTTTTCGTTACGCAATTTCTGGATTCGGTCCCCGCGCTTAAGGCCCTCGATAGAAGCTATGCAATAGCTTAAAAACTCTCAATATTAAGCGCCAAAGATTAAAATAAACATTAATTCAATTATCGCTCTGCATACACATTGCTGTTTGCCAACTTTTGCAGGCGAGATTATTATTCTGTCTCCCTTGATTGGTGGACACGAGGTACAAGAGGAAAGACTATGGTCTAATAAATATGCATCCTATAAGACTCTAGTTCAAATTCAAACTTACACAATTTATCGTTCGAGTAAAAACTTTTCGAATTACTGGGCTATCGCTCTCGTGATCCCGTGAGTAAATTGCTAGTATTCATCATAATGCGTGACATTTAAAATTACCGCTCGCCGCTCTAGTGACCATGATAAATCAACACAAACACTAGTTCAGCCCACTGAAATGCTATTATAATCTCTTTATTTCAATAATGGCTTTTCAAAGTGCTTTTATACTACTAGTACGCATTTACTACCACTCTAAATTTATTCTGACACATAAAATTCATATTCGAAAATGTTCTCCTTTGGCGGAGTTGGCATGTGAGTAATTTAGGTGTTCTGGTTTGCAGATTTGTATGGCATGGTCAACGTGGCACTTGTTTTATACGAGCAAATACGTGTAATGTGCAATACGGTTGCATGAAATATTGACTATGCTACGAGTACTATGATAAATCAGTTAACAATTTTGTTATAGATGTATTTACTATACATAACATATTCATACTCGTATATTGTAGTAGTCGTCTAGTCGTGCACTTTAACGTGCTTCAGCTTTTAAAATTTCATTATTATCTAGTCATTATGTTGAGTACACTAAAGGTATAATAATAATTAAAGATTAGAAACATAAAATTTAATTTTAGTTTATTTCAGTTATAACTTAAAAAGTCTTTATGTTGAACAATTTAAGCTCAGGATTTACTTCAATTCGATTTAAAGGTTATGAGCCGTTAAAGCTCTCCTTCTTTAGGTTATGAGCTTTATAACATTATTATAGGACAGCTAGGAGCAAATCAGTTAGTATTAACTAATATATTAAACTGTTAGAAAGTACACATAGTAAGATATATAAGTAAATACATTGAGAACATACATACAGTGACATTGATGCCGAAAGGATAGATAGAAGCGTTTTAAACACGTGCGTCTTAACAAGTAAAGCTAAACGTCAGACATTTAACGATTATATTAACATTGGCGTACAGTGTTAGCGTAAATAATGCATTTTACATAATTGTGTTCTGAATTAACTGGAATTTTGTGTAAACACTGATAACATTTTTGCACTAAAAGGTTATCAAATATCACACTCCTACGTAATGGCATTTTGTTAAGAAAGTTTACTTACATGAATAATCATGGTTAGACAAAAAAAATAAGCTTAGGTATTTTATAGATCTGACCTGAATTTATCTATAAGAAATTTGTATTTAGAAACATAAATTCGATACATGGCAATAGCGACAACTGTAAAGGCAATCAAAAATGTATTACGCAGCGGTTTATTTATATGTAGGTTAAAAGCAAGGCTTTCTGCCATAGCAGAAAGCACATATATGTACGTTCCAATCGTCGCAAGAGCCGTAACGAATGTCGAGGCAGAGTCGTCTCGTTTCTCGCATTGGGCCGCGGACAGACCACCCTCTTGCATTTATTCATGTCGTTACCGCTAACGATAATTTTATCGTGTGCTCATTTGCTGGCGCCAGTCTCGCGGCCATCCGTCAGCGAGTCCAAATCGACAATTTGTGCAACACTAAAAACTTTATTGCGACATAATTGACCCCGGTTGTAAATAACTCTCAACCGCGACATTTTATTGCTGGCTTATTTTGTACTAGTTAGGCGATAAACATTTTTGGAGATAATTTTTTAATGGTTCAGTTATAATATATGTTATAAACATAAATAAGATAACAAATCGTATTAGCTTATTACATGTTCTTCATTTGCAGTGCCTCAATGAAAATGTACACATGGTGAACACTTAACAACGAACATAGTAACAGTATTTAGAAAACTACATTAACCAGAGAGTTAATGTTTGTTATGGTGGTAGGTTCGTGTATGTATCTTCTATACAAATGATAGAGCGATAAAGCAGAACATAACTAGGGGTCAAGTGGGATAATGAACCAGTTCAGAGCTTGTAAGATACAAAACCTTGGAAGATCGATACAAAGAGCTAACCTTAAAAAAAATTTGGTTGGACAGTTTTGCTATAAGTTACAGATAAACGGTTAACACATGATTTATGTTAAAGCCTCTTTTGCAACTAATAGCCTTTTTTTACGTAGACGGGTGTTTGCGTACAATCATTCATACTGCGGTCCAATATGTGCCATAGTCAAATCTATATACATACGAGATTATCAACAATCTGAATGTAGGGTGTTAATTTATATAAAGCAGATCAAAACTAGAGTGGTTCAAAATGCCGTAAGTTTGTCGTTACCAAATCCCGGGATCATGGTAATAGTTTTCATTTAATCAGATTATCTCGAATTACTTTCATTGTTGAGTATAACAGAAATAAGCTTTAAAGTAAAAAAATATTACTTGAAATTGGAAACGCTACGCTACTGCTACCGCTATAAAATATTGTTTGTTGTTAAGTCAAAGAAAAATCTCTGTTAATCAAAAGCGATTCATCAAATCGATTTCTCTTGAGACCTGTTGTTAACATTTGAACGATGTTAGAAAGTTACAGACTGTGCTGCAATGCCACCAAATCTTTAACATAGCTTCAAAAATATTAACGCCCAGCAACATGTAATAGGTACTTACTCGTATATTGAGAGTCGAACACACACTCAAATATCGCATGAATACACAATTGTTGTATATTGGTGCGTTTTACTAGCACTAGTATAATAGTTTAAGTAGCCAGATTTTTTACATATTTCACATGAAAAAGTCTGTGATCTGCAAACTGAGCACATACCCATAAAATATTCGAAACAATAATTTCTTCTTCTAAAGACCTAATAAATTAATCACTGGATAAAATACTTTATTGAAATAGTATATTTAAAATGAAAAATATGTGTGCAGTTTTATTCTACTTAAATTGTAACAGAAACTTCTTGATATTCCTCTCAGAATATTGTAGGTACGTAATTGAATAGCAGCAGAGGCCAGAGCTCGGTAGTTAAGGACGTGGCCGACCACTGCACGGCGGCTACGGCATAATTGCACAAACTTTCATGTGCTTCGCATACATTTTCGTAAGTAAAGGGGCAGTTCGCACCAACTAGTAAAAGTTATTTATAGCCACTTCCTTCAATAATACTAGTTTGTCTTGTTATACTTTTATTGATCGTTATCATGCTTCGGGTCGTAGAATTAAGAATAGGTACGAGGACGTTCCTTGTTTTCTCAATCCAGACACAACGGAAAAGAAAAATTCAAAAATTCGGAAAAGAAGAAGGCAAAAGTCTATTGTACCCTACACGTCGTGTACGTGTACGTCGTGTTTACCCTACACTGCGTTCACCGAGACGGGGTTCTCGGTAAACGTAGGTGCAGTGTAGGTGCCCACAAGCCAGGTGGAGTTACGATTTGCGTAAGACGGCTGGCAGGAGCTGGATGCGAGAAGGCGAAAATCGATCAAAGTGGCGTGCAATATGTCCAGCAGTGGACTGCGATAGGCTGATGTTGATGGTGGTGATTATCTACAAATAAGTTACTAAGTCTTCTATTAATTTCTCCTTTAGATGTTCATCATCTAGACATCAGAATACAGATCTGATATATTTTTATTTTTGTTACTTTATATAATTATATCTAATAAGCACGATCACAAACAAAAAGGGTGAAATAGAATAAACAACGAAGACTGGAGTTACCTAATCAACTCGTGAAAATTTGGCGCAGGGTGTACACTAGAGGTTGCTTATTACATATTCTCATCTCGAAAGCCCGGTCCGGTGGCGACAGCGGTGCGGCATGTGATTTTAAACATGACACATGGTATTATGGTAGACAAAATATCAATACATTAAGATACTAAATTCTTATCCTAACGTTTTCTATTTATTATAAACGAGGTTTTTATTAGCAGGACCAAAAAATAGTACTGTTACGTAACTAACACGTAAAATCTACACTTCAGGTAAGTGTTATTTATATAGTCTATATAAGCTAGTAATAATGTAAAATCAAACAACATCGAAGTCGTATAATTTCCAGCCACGGTTCGTAGCCATAACAAGGAAAATGTTAAAGGAAGGTCTTTTCACAAACCCGAAATAAATATCTCGCTTTTCCATTAAGGACATAAAAGCAATTCCGCGAGAGTCGAATAATAACGAGGGCCAGCGTTGTCCAGCCGTGGCCTCCTTCGAATTTTATTTGCATCGCAGGCCGCGTCTCGGTTTTAACTTTGCTTGCCTCATTACCCCAATAATCACAATTGTGTAGCTGGCGACGTTTTGCGGCGTCGTTCGCGCCTCACTAGCCAACTAAAATAAGCGCGTGTTCGCAATCTTCCAGGCTTCACCGTCGTGTTTACACCGACCTCTCATGTCGCGCGCCAACGGTCCTCTCGTACAACTTCGGGATAGCATGCGCCCGAGAAAACTTCTACCTTTGAGCAATTCCAAACGCTTCGACGTGCTCTGGATGTAAACTTGCAATAACTGTATACATGCTGTAAATAGACTTCGAATATCATAGCTGCAAAATAAAGATGTTTTCAAAAAAAGACACGTCGTTTTATTAAGTTGTTACAAGTAGGTATTATTTTATAAAGTTCATTATAAAATCAACATTACGTAATATGTTCAGAGTTAATTATTGCCTGCGTAGCGCGTTGCGTTGATTATTTCGTGAGATAAATGTGATTGACATGATAACATAGTAAACTGCAAATCCTTCAGCAGTATTTTCACACTTAATTTTCTTGAAACATAGCAGCGGTAAGAAGTTAAAATTAAGACGCGAGTTTATGGGGCGTTACTGGGGTGGAGGGCATAAGGTGGGAACTGAGGAGGCGCGGCGGTGTGAGAGGCCATTCGAATTCACCGCGCGAGCTGCGCCGTAGATAGCGGCAGGCGGAACACGTACTTCACTTCCACTAACTCCAACTATTGACAATATTAATGCACGCTTAGCAGGGCCAAGCGTTGGCGTGCATCGCTTTCTGAATACATTAAAAATACTTAATTTAAATATCCAAAAAAAATACATTGCAGTAAGTAAACCTATATGTTTTGCATCATACATAATGATATATTTACTTATTACAACGAATTTATTCAATTCTTAAAAAGAGATCAACGGAAGAAAAGCAAATATTAGACGAGCCTCGCCCACGACGGCTGCTATTAATTCCAGAATTGAAATCTGAAAATGTGGTGGCGGTGGTGGCGAATTTACATTCATCGCGGTAAGAACTTAAATCAAGTTCTCAGTTACGATTCAGTTGCGATATTATTTTATTAAAATATGTAAATGATGCCGTTCTACCCGCGCAGATACTATGGCAAGGACTTTACAATTGCAGGGAGGATATCTTTAACGAAGCAATATTTTCATTAGTGAGACCATTACCTACGAACGTTATCACAATTTTATACTTTCACAATTATGACGTCACATGAGTCGTGCTTAAATGTGTTCAATGCGTCGCACACTTCGTTTTACTGTTTATAGCATTAAAACGAAAATTAATAATTTTGGAAAGGAAATGCACCAGTAACATTTACCATTTAGTGGGTGGCTTTTTTTGAAAAGTTTACAGGAAACTACAACTTCTATTAAGGAAAGCTACTACCATTCTTCTCCTTCTTAGTCATGTCACTCTTGTCAGTGGTCGTGGTTATTAGTAGTAGATACTATTATTCTTTAGAAAAATCTATGCACATATTGAGTTCTCCACAAGCTCAGATCGTTCTCTAGAATCATTTTACTTGAGATATTAAGACAACCTATGTGGCTCGGCAGTAAAACAATTTACTGCAACGTCTGTTGTATACATGAGTATACTCGTATAAATTTGCATTGCTCTGCATCATCATCATCATCATCAGCCTATCGCAGTCCACTGCTGGACATAGGCCTCTCCCATTGCACGCCACTTAGATCGATTTTGGGCTTTTCGCATCCAGCTCCTGCCAGCCATCTTGCGCAAATCGTCACTCCACCTGGCCTGTGGGCGTCCTACACTACGTTTACCGAGACGCGGTCTCCACTCAAGAACTCTTTTTCCCCAACGGTTGTCGGTTCTGCGGCTAATATGGCTACAGCTTGCTGATCCGGTAGGCTATGTTGGTAACCTTGGTTCTCTGCCGGATCACCTCATTTCTGATGCGATCCCTTAGAGAAACGCCGAGCATAGCCCTTTCCATAGCACGTTGAGCGACTTTGAACTTGTGGACCAGCCGTACCGTAAGTGTCCACGTTTCAGCTCCGTATGTCATGACGGGTAGGACGCACTCATTAAAGACTTTTGTCTTAAGGCACTGTGGGATCGACGATGAGAAGACTCGACGTAGCTTCCCAATATTTAAATATGCTATGTTTAAATATGCTCTGCATATTTAAACCTATAATGTGCTTTTTTAATGCAGAAAAAATAAATACCTGTATATGTTAATAGTCAGTATAGATATTACCTAACTTGTAGAGGATTTAATGTTGTCAATTTTGTGACAAGCCTATTTATTAATTCTACAGTTCGTAAATTAATTCATAGCTCGTAAATTCGATTCATAGCTCGTAAGATATAACTCTCTCTCTGCAAAATTTGAAGTAGGTAGTACTAAAATCCTAGGATATCCATATAGTCCTCTGAGATCCCTTAGACTCTGTCTTAAATTTTATTCTAAGCTTACATATCAAATATCCTGCTTATACGTTTATCGTCGATACCAGAAAACCACAGTCTTTCATATAATATTACGGGAACTCCTTAATCGGACTCTCTCACAAACTCCGTTCGAAGGTCTAATGCCTGTCAAATTTTAGGTCTCTAATACTTGTAAAAACTAACTTTTCCGTAGAAACTTTCAGGAGCTTTTACAGTCGTCTAAATCCGGTCTAAGCTGAAGTATCTCACTTAGAAATTACTCACTTACTTCTAGACCAAAAAGTTTCTTGCGTGAACCCTTTAACATCCTGAATGCGGTCCTGTCGTAAAATATTTACTTTGATGACAGTATACGTCACTTAGGAACATATTATAATACTCATAAACGATGTTTCATCCAAATTTTAACTTCAGAGGTTTAGTAGATGCCCAGATTGAATGATTAGTCAGTGAATGAGTGTGTGAGGTACCTTTCGCTTTCATATAAATACAAATTAATTAAAATACTACTTACAGTAAACCTTCCATATATATATATTACATATATCAAAGTACGTTTTAAGAAAAATACCTAAATTGAATTATAAAATCTACTACTAAAATCATATATGATATACATACTTGTATTAGTAGCCGCTGTTTCCCCGTGTTCTATAATCAGTTTAATCTCGACTGCGATGAAATGACATTAGAGATACATTTGAAATGCTATAATTAGAATAAACTAAACTAAATTAACTGTTAATTAGTAATGTATAAAATAAACTACAATTGATGTATGATTGCAGTTCTAGTTTTTAAATTTTTGCGTTTTATGTTCCACATATATATTTGAATTGCCTGATGTGTTGCAGTAAGCGCCTGACTGCAGCACTTCAAGCAATTCAAATATACAGCAGTGGTCGCGGGATGACTATCAGCGTGCAACTGCGATTAGTGCATCCAGGTCGATACGTGTGTATAGATTTGTATGAATATATTCATTGTTATTTTAAATTATGTTGTTAGTTTAGTTATAACAAACAGTTTTCAATTACACCATACGGTGGCCTTATCGAAAACGTCTTTATAGTTGAAAATGCTACCCGCAGATTCATCTGATTCCAGGCACAAAGCAGTTTTCAATTTATCGGGAATAAATGCTTCGGTTGGCGTCTCAGACACCCAATTACCGCGCACAAAAGCTGATTACCGCGCGGGTGCGGGCGTTCTAGTAGAACGGCGCGCGTCGGTAGCGCGGAGACGCTGAGGCCCGGCTGCAGCCAGGCAGGCAGTGCGGCTGTGCGCTCAAGAACATTTGAACGACTTGTGAGGAACTCTTCATTTACTATGTTTACATAGCTAGACGGACTAAAAGGGTCCTTTTGATTGAAATCGATGTAACTGTGTATTTTACAGATACGTCTATGTAGCTTCGCAATTACTGTCCTGATGAAAAAGTCGAGGTTCAGTTTTTTTTTAAATAGTTTTTCTTTGCGGAAGCGCTCGTGTAAGTAATTTTGTGTAGTACTTTTTGGATGATCGTTAGAAAAAAAAATTCATTAGTGGTTGTTTAAAATCTATAAAGATGTTAGTATGTATGATTCAATTTTTTTTTACATTTACTAAGTAAAATTCCAAAAACTCTTTGATATACACAACTAGCTTATAACTAACCTATGTATGTGAATACGGGTCGCCCTTGTAATAAACCCATTGAAGATATGTTAATTTGTCTTGTTCAAAGTTTAAAGGTAACGAGCGACTTACTGTAGCAATTCCTATACGAGTATATTATATTCTCTACTGCAAGCTTTAGTTGATGTAATTGCAATAAGCCTCGGAGCATCGTGGGGTACTAACTGCATTGGGTCTCTGTGTTGTCAAGTGAACTCTCCGACAGCTAACGCCCTGGGAAATCATGACCGACGCCTCTCTGCCCTAAGTAGAAAGGATAAATTCTGACATCGTCGCGACTACCTTTGTAGCAAAAGTACATATATTATGTACATACATAGCTAATTTAATAAAAGTATTATTACAAAAAAAAAGAAATCAAAATCGATTTAAGTGGCGTGCAATGGGAGAGGCCTATGTCCAGTAGTGGACTGCGATAGGCTGATAATGATGATGATGATGATGATTTTCACTATAGAAATGTTGTGGCAAATAAAGTACAAATAAGTGGCGCGCAATAGAAGAGGCCTATGTCCAGCAGTGGACTGCGATAGGCTGATGATGGTGATGATGATGAAAGTACAAATATACATTTTAATGAGGCTGCACCTCTCATATGGCGTGGTATTGTAATCGCCCTTCATTACAAATATAAACCTCCATTCAAGTTGAATTATGGCGTTGTGTCATAAGCTTAAGACGTGTGCAAACAAGATTTATGTAATTAATTTAGGAGATAAGAGCAGGAGCGAGAATACATACGTTATGGAATACAAAGGGCGTTACACCTCCGCCGCCAACGCTCTGTACTTTGGTTATTAGAGATTTGTTACTAATGTCATTATATCTAACTTTAAATACAGTTTTTCTAAAACAAGATGCCGTAATAATAACTATTCAGTTACTTTATTGCACCCTTTTTATTTTAGGTCAATTAATAATTTTAAAAAAAACTCATATACAATTATTATAGATGCTTAATATTATCAGAAAGGCAATTATGAAGGGAAGAATATAAACAGTAATTTTGAGAAATGGCCATAGGCGAACTGAGGGTGAATGCGGGCGAACAACCACCACCGACGGCTGGAGATATTTACGTTTATCTTCGGGTAACGGCTTCATCGCAAGCTTTATTACAACATCCACTCACGTAATCCTCCGCCGCCGTCATAACTCCTTGTTTGCTGCCCCGCTACAATGTACTACACAGCTTTTCCACTAGCTGTAACACGCTGCATCGTGCATCCAACTATTGCATCTGATTTATAACAACTACCTTTTTTTATAACTGCCACATTGTGGTTGCCAAAAATACATAAAAACCAAATTTTAATCATGTTGTATATCGTGTCAAAATTTGAGAAGTAGTAGTGTAGAACTTTTTGAATTTTTTAAGCATACACAAACCAACGTGACATATTTGGATTGCATTTTTATGTTATTGTTGTTCGTCTTTGAACAAGTTTATAGTTATTGTGTTCGTACAACGAGAATTTTAAAAATGAAAGAGTTCCTGTCCTTATATTTTGACTAGACTAAATATCACAATATAATGAAATTAAGCTATGATTTCTCTTCCGTCCTAAAGAAGGGTACTATTAAATACTAATTATTATTAATACGATAAAAATTTATAGAAGAGGCTATCGTTCTTGGGACTTCCCACATCCAAAAGGCCTAATTTATGGCAGTTCAATCCGGCCCGTATTCATAGCGGTACAAATTTAGCGATATAAATGTATCGCTAAATTTCTTAATGTATTTTTAAAATTATGTAAGATTTAATTCTTACAAGTTAGAACATTAAATAGTGAAAGTACGAGTATTAATACTCCTTACAAAAGTGGTAGGTAATTTGGGTGTATAAAAAATAATTCACATGAAGTAACAGATTAGAGTAATCTATATTTATTTGTGGAACATATTATATTCAACATAAGAATATTTGGGTAAAATGAATGAAGGAGACATTTTTAACTTTTTGAAACACCCTCGTAGGAGTCGGGTGCGAACTCTACCGTCCATAAATGAATTTCGGATATGGAATCCATAAATACTCAATCTAAATTTGTAAATTTTCACCAAGGATCGTAAAAAATTTAAAGAGGTAATCCGAAATCGGCTTACTGCTGAGGTACAACTTGTTTCACACAGCAATTTGTTAAGCTGGAGTCCTAATGATTTTTACGACTTTGTAAAGTTCTACAATCAGTATAATTATAAAATAGTAAAGAAATCATTTAAAGAGCAGTTTATTGCGGAAATGTACTTACACTAAATGTGAGAAGGATGAATGGCGTTGCAGAAAGGCCGAAATCGGGGATTGGAAGCTTAGTGCAGCCGCCGGAAGTAGGCCTCTGACCGCCGTCGTATAATAGGTTCCAAATTGACCCTTCCACTGGGGCCTTCGTCTCCGCACACGTATTATCTACACATCTTTCACTTATATAATATATATTTGAAAATTTCTGTAACAATTTAGTTTCGTATTGGTCTGTTTTATATTTTACCTACTGTGCTTGATAATAAATTAATAAAAACGCGCTCTCAACGCCTATCATATGGAGCCTAAATGTTAAATTGTATTTCAGTCAATTTGTAACATCAATTACCACCGCCAAATTAAATTTCATACAAAGACATTAATGCGAGATCGCACTGGAAGTTTCGGAAGTGTTATTTCCTTTTATAGCAAAGGCAAACGTCAACCGACCGGCGAGACCGGGTATGAGGATAGTCAAATACATAAAAGGGATGAGTCGCGCGAAATACTGGCGTTGTAGGATCCTAAGCTCTGTTTAGATTAGATCAGACCTTCGAAATAACAGTGAATGAGGACGTGGATTAACTACGGTCCGGGGCACTTCGGCCCGTGCGCTTAATGGGGCAACCGTTAGGGGTAATGAGGGGCGCGGGGACAGGGAGGGTTCGCCTTTCGACCTACTACTGTACCTCGGCGTTCATAGAAAAATGTTTATGATATAATACCTTACCGGTTACAAGTAAATCATAAACAGTTTTTCATGTGTTTTTGTAAGATGTAGGCACTGGCAACGAATCGTAGTAAATATATTGAAATTAAAAAAAACTGACAAATCATTTACATATTAATAAAGTACACGGGATTCTGGTACTACTACTCCCAGATGTCCCAGCGCCAGAAATAAGGGGTAGGAATTCATTTTTCAATGTCAGAGAAGAAAATTCATTAGAACTTTGAAATTACTGATGGCTAAGCGGACGGAGTAAAATTTGCTTTAATTTGTACTAAAACTTTTTCGTAAATTTTAAGAAAGTTTCAAAACGACTTTTGAAGTGAGAAAGATGAGAAAAGTGCTAATGATTACTGTTGTTTTAATATTTATACTGATTTTTTACGTTTTAGTCCAAGAATGAATATCTGAAACTTGTTCAGAAAATAATAATCCCTATTATTTTCTGAACAATTTCAAATCTTCATTGAAATATTTTTGTGAATCGAATAAATAGAAGCAGTATTTTCTGTCTTTGCCTGCATGAAGTAATTTGAAACACAAATAGAACATAAAGAACTTTATAATTATAAGAAGTCTTTACATTTACAAGTAATAAAATTCACATATTAAAGTAACAAATCCGTAGCGAAGATAACGTCTTGGAGCAATCGGGCTCCGGCATCGACCACTGCACGCTCGTCCAGAACAACCCGATATTAGTTTACTTTTGCTCTCGAACTTACTTTATTAGTTATCCATCCGCGAAAGCTGCCGGTGATAGTTTTCAAGTTATTGAACGGCAAGAAACGTCGAGCATATGCTCTTATATACAGTTTAAGAGTTTATATGTTCCTCTGTTTAAAGTTCGGGATCGGATCGTTCGAGTAAATTTTCGTATAAAAAAGTATATCCGTCTCAGTTAATTTTATTTCAAACTAAAAAAGTAAAAAATGAATTAAATACCACCGTCCCCATTTTGAATTCTGGAAGAGAAATTGAGTGATATTGTCTTCAAATCAGTGTTTTTTTTTTATTATAATTCAATTTGGGTACTATACAGTCACCATATTGGTTTCACGTAAATACACGAAATTAATTTACATCTATTTTAACTTAAATCCATCAGGTTGCTGAACCGCTTCGAATTATTAATAATACTGGTGTCAAAATGGTCACAATTTGTACTTGTATACATAAATATTAAGACTGGTGGTTTGGTTATTAATGAAGTCAGACAATATAAAAACACTTTAATTCAACACACTACAACAACTACAATAATTCCTTATGGTACAGCTACTCAATTCTTCATGGACTCCTTTAATTAATGTTGTTATAGCTACAAAACAGTGCTTTAATGTAAGTAATATATGAATTTATTTAAATTCTACGGTTGAAATCACACTCAAAGTTTAAAACGAATATTCTGAGTTTATATGCTATGATAATATTTAAAAGCGTTTTACTTAAATACAAATAGGAATAAGGTACTGTGTATTTATGGATTTTGTATTTGAATAAACTAGTAAGGAGGAAGGAGGAGACAACATAATTTTTTCTATTGAAAATCCACTCAACATCTATATTCGGTTTATTAAACGATAACATGGGAATCCGTGATAGACCAAAAACAGGTCAGGCGGCTTTTCGTTGACAACAACAGCTTTGTTAGGGAGAATTTTATTGGCACAAATATTGTCCAAGTCGAGCTGCGGCGCGCAATCCTCATGATTTACCGAGCTGTTTACGCGAGCCGTCCTATCCCGATCTACCAACATTTTTACAGCACCATTTGCCCAAAAGTCAGACATTTTCTACAACACAAATCATTTTAACTATATTTTTATGCAAATTCTGGGCGATCAATTTGGAAGACAAGTCCCGGCTTTTCTAAAGTATTAATATCGTTTTTCTATTAGATGTCGTTTTGATCTTAACATAGTCCAAAGAAGTTTCGGATTCAGGCATTCATGTTACGAAGTTTTATAAAAAAACCTGGGAATGGGTTCATAGTAATGAAAAGGTCTTAAAAACAACGTACGATAAAATTAATGTTGTAAACTCTGCTACTAACAATAAAAATAGCCCTTAAGCCATCGAAACATTAACAAAGTTTTCACGTTAACTTTTTGTATAAGTAGAAAAGTTACGGAGGCATTTTCCAATCTCTGAGCAAGGGCTGTCGTCCGCCTTGTGTTGAGTCATTATGGCGCGACGCTGAACTGTCACCCGAAACGATCTCACCTCTTCTGTTTTTTAACACATTCTTGTATTTTGGTATACAAACATTTGTTTTATCAAGACTTATATCATTTTAAGTGACATCAAAATAAAATATGGTTGTCACATCCTTAAGGATTGAAATCCTTAAAGATCGAAGAAAGCTGACGATGAATACAGTAGTAATAATACTTGCGGTTACCGTAAAATGTAAAAAAAAAAATGCTGACTGGTAGACGTATTGTGATTGTAAGTACTTTGTTAAGGGGAGTAGAAAGTCTGCTAATCCTTTTATCTAAGCGCAGCACGCGGCGGAGTTGGGAGAATGTACCTGTAGTTTACCGCCGCTCGCACCTGTTCAGCCACACTTGCGACGGAGCCAAGCTTAATCTACCCTCTTTTTATTATAGCCGCGTTTCAGTCGCTTAATTAACGAACCGCTCGCTTCACCGACCTTACCAAACCGTCGTTATAAGTTTACTCTTGGCATTTGAAAAACATTTTCGCTTCCCTACCACAGTTTTAATTTCAATTTCTCACACCTTTAACAAGTTTGTATAGTCCGAAATATTTATTTAAACCTCATTAATTAAATACCTCATTACAAAAAAGAAGCTTGTGTGAAGAAGAGTTGAATCTTAAACAATTCCGTTCTTAATCGAGCCACGATAAGAAAGGTACATTAAAAAGGTCTGGCGTGACAACAAATCTAAAGGAAAAATCTCCGCCTCTGAGAGCCCAACGGTGATAAACGAGAAAAACTTTGGAACTAAATGGAGCATTCGAGACGGCGGAGCTGCGCTCCTGTCGCAGAATAATACTTCACTCGAAGAAATAACACTTATAGTCCGCGAGGCTTAAAATCAAATGTCTCCGTTCCCTCGAGATTATAGTGAGAACGCTATATGTGCGCAAGTACTGACACAAAGAAATACCGATGTTTTAACATCATAAAAGTGTTTAATAAATTACTTTCTAAAATTTGTAATGCTGTAGAATTTAGTACATTCATTACCTTCTTTTTCTCCGTAGTGTACATAGCTAACGCAATCATTTGAAAGAAATTCATCGTCTTACCTCTAACAATAGAAAGCCTTACCTGGAAACAAAAGAGAACAACTTTATTACTATATTAACAAAATGGAATGTTTTGTTGTGTTTTTATCTTTGCTGTTTATGTTTACAGCCTAGTCAGCTTTTATTCATCTCAAAAAAAACCTTCATAAAAACTTATAACTTGACCACCAGAATAACGTCCTAAATTTTACATGGTTTACAAGAAATTAGTAGCAAAAACTTATTCTTTTATGAAAAATAAATAAGTGAAAAAATATAATGACGAGGCCGTATCGTGCTGACGAGAGCAAGCAAGGACAGGTTACTCTAATTTACATTAATACGAGTTTTCCGGGGATAGTGACGAGGTGGCGCGGCGCTGTTTCAACGAGCTCTGTTAAGGCTCGGGCAGGCGACTGTTGACGCCCGGCTGCTCCAAATCACGTGTCCCGAGAGAACACACACCTCACAACGCCCCAGGATTATGTTATATGAAAATAATTGTCACGCCACGTCAGTTAAACCGACAACGAAATAACCTTGGCAAAATAAGGGTCAAAATGTTGTTTTGTTGCAGTGAAATTTCTTAATTTGATTAATTTTAGTGTAGGGATCACGAGAAAATTGGAATAATACTTTCTATACCGCTCGGCATTTACCAAGTGCAAATTATTTGCGGGATTTTACGTATTTACGATTCTTGTTGTTTAAACTTTTTATACACGAGCTTTGTTGCTTTGTGAAAGTATAATGTATTAGGTAATATTTACAAAGATGACGTAAGAGCAAATAATGTTTGTGACAAGTTTTATTATGAAAGGTAGTAAGTATAAATCATGGTATGGCGTATACGACATTATCGGGGAGGAGTGGTCATGATCGGCACGTGCGGCGCGTCAAGTGTGGCGGCTGTGTCAGCGAGCCTAGACTGAATGACGCTGTGAACGCCCTAAGTGTCACACTGATAATTATGTACCTGATTGAAAACTTAAACGGCGAATGCCATCTACTACATTACATACACTTGATTATGTTCCTTTAGATCAGAGATAGGAAAAAAACAATAAAAAAACTTGTGAAACATTTGTAGAAAAGAACTGACGATAGAACATGTACTACTCAAGTATTTAATGTGATTGAATAATCAAGGGACGAGCTGCATTGAGTTATGTTCACACGCCGTAAAGCGCAAAAAGCCAGTTTAATATATAAAGATACGAAAATAAATTCGCTCAGAGGGGCAATATCATAATGGAGTTGTGAGGTTAAAATATGCTCTGGATTTGCATGAAGTCTAGCTATGCTGACCACCTATGTTGAGTGCTATTGAATTATATCACAGTATGTTTATAGCTCTTTTCGATATTATTGTTCGTAAATACACAAGCTTCACAAAAACAAAGTAACAAAAATTTTTAAGTAAGTATTCTTAAAATAAATAACTGCAAAAATATAATGACAAGGGCGTTTCGTGCTGACGAGAGCAAGCAAGGACAGGTTAGTAATTGAGTTCACACGGGGGGGGGGGGGGGTCTACTCGTCTGTAGATGACCCGAGGTATGTCGGGGCACCAGGGACGTCCTTTCTAGGGTATACCTGGTTCCCCGGCTATTAGTACCCGGCGACGGCGTGCGGTTTTAGTATTATGTTTTTAGCTCTTTTCAATATTACTGTTCTTAAATACAGATATTACTTTACTTTTAAATGATGCCAAAGGATAATTCAGATTTTCATTTGAATATGTAATATAAATACAAACCATATTTATGGCAAAGAGAAAAAAGGAGATGTTGAAATAATTTCATTTGAACGAGCTACTCCATCAGCCCGAATAGCCCGATCGTAATTTGTTAGGAAAACAAAGTTTCGCCTTATCACAGTATTCCACGTGGAGTGTTTTGCTGAAATTCTCTCTGACTGCGAATTATGTGCGAAATATTGTGACTTGATATATAAATAGTGTAGAAATGGTATTTATTTTTGGATACTATTTAGTATTCGTTTCTGAGCTATCACTGCTACCATGCTAACGTATGTTTTTTTATGTTATGTATGTTATGTTACATTTTTTTTAGTAATAGGTTTACTAAAAAAAATGTAACTAATAATCGTTTATAATAAGTTATAATAACTATTAACTAAAAGCATCATTATATCTACAGAAATAAGTATTTCATTGATCTTTACGGTATTTCGTATTTAAAAACTGTTAAGTATGTAGTAAACAAAAAGAGCTAGTTATTATCATAGTCATTGACGAAAATATTTTACGACAGTGTGATAATATTAAATATTAATAATATCTAGTAATTATGAGTAATGTAGATTGAATGCAATGTGCAGTAGATAGTGTCATAAGTATGTATATACAGTACAAATAAATAACATTTTATATTAGTATAATAATAATACCATATATATAATAATAATATATAATAACAACTGGTATTAAAGCTTGAGAGCAGCGTTAGAAAAACTAAAAGCGATTTTGTGTAGCAACAAGTTATAAGAGTTATAAAACGAATAGTCCAGATGTTGGTAGCACGTCCCGGTAACGAATGGAGCGCAGCGTGACTTCGGCCCGCACCGCCTCGCCTGGCGTAATTGGAAAGACGCTACGTGGCACTGCGACTGCTGAACGCCCTATCATTAGCGTCACTCACAATTTGCTTCCTGCCAACGATTTACACTGTCGCTATCGTTCACAGTGTCCATTTAATTAATAAACTTAATCACGCTGACGAACCAACTGATTTATGTTATTGACTTTTTATTAGAACGCTAAGAATCAAAATGACTGTCATTTAGTGCACTTATTTTTATGACATACGAGGACAAACGACCAGACGAGTCAGTAAGTTTCTAAAGTAATATGTGCATGGGGTATTATCACTAGTTGGTGAACACTATTTCGGGTTGGATTATAGATTTCCTCAATACTTTGCTAATTTTAATAGCTAATTTTATCATCATCATTTTCTAGCTAATTTTATCAACATAATTTTCTTAAAATTTCCAATGTATAACAATATTATATGTGTAATATGTACTATTTTCCATAAAATATTCTTAGATTTTTTTATATAAACATATAATAGTTTAGAGCAGACACCATACTGAGTATGACCCTTATCATTTTTGTTAAGATACCTAGTATTTTAAGAAGCACATTAAATGAAATATGAAGTTTATTTAAAAAAAAATACCTTTACATTAATGTTTAATTACCATATTAGACACATTACGTCCCTAAAACTTTGTAAAGCTAGACATGAGCAGCGTAGAGCTTATTCGTAGCATCGTAATCAGCTACGACCCGAGCTACGAAAATAACGAAGCTACGAAGTAGGATATACGAAAGTTTTGGTTTTTAGGAACAGTGTAAATATAATAATTAGGACATATTCTGGCACTGCGATGTAAATGTCTAATGATCAGATAAACTATAACCTTTTAATCACGTGCTGTAAAATAAGAGAGACGGGAAGGCGAATCTAACAACCACGTAGCGACAGTATTGGGTGAATAAAAACAG